TGGTGGAGCTGTGTGCAACTCGCTGCTTTAGATTTGATCAGCCCTCTTCTTTTAATTCACATGGATTTGCATCCCCTGAGTTTCACTTTGCATTTGTGGTTTGAATGAAACCCAGACATCTGGGGAGATCAGGGAAGGGAGGCAGAATTAAACTGAAACCTCCAACTTCAACCTCATTTCTTGTTAATATTTTAAGCCAATCCTTGGCATGCTTGGAGGGTTTTCAGACCTTTGGAAGTCTTTTGGAAAATGTAGACTGAAGTTTGAGTTTCTTGTACAAAACCCAGTATTGGGAGGAGTGCATCAAGTGTGGGTTTGGATTCTGTAATGAAGTTCAGCACAGCTTAATTTACTGATTCAAGAGTCTCACAAGCAACTTTTTCATTTCACCCGTGAACTAGCACTCCAAGCTTATCCAATCACACTTAGCTAAAGAGTGGGAAACCAAAGGCTGAAACTCAAGGGCAGCAGGCAGAAAACCAGGTTAATGACTACATTATCATGAGGTTCTACTTGACCAATATTTGGGGTACTAAGTGTTTTCTGTTGCACTAGGTCACAAATTGGCTCATGCCGCTTTTTCTTTGCCTCTCTCTGGATCACTTTCAAACATCAAGGAAAGTTTGCGAGGAAGGAAAAGTTAGCTTTGAATGCTCCTGTTAACACAGCACTTTGTTGAGCAACTGTAACCTGTTGCCCATCTTATTCTCTGATAAGTATGACTTGTTTTCTGTTATCTTAAATCCATTGTTTCTGGAAACAGCATACATGATAAGGTTGACAAGCTCATAAGCTAAGAGAACCTGCCTGATTTAGCTCCAGGGTTGTCCCTGACATGGGAATGGCGGAGCGTTCTCTCATGGGAAATAGACCTACACAGGGCTCTTCCTTCTTCACTGTCTTATACGGTGGGAGACAGAGATCTTCTCTTGGATAAGAAAAGATTTACGGGTTTAGGTCTTCTACCGTAGATCCTTTACATCGCTCTGGCCGTGTCTACACAAGATGTCTACACAGTAGTATTAGGCTACTGCACAGTCAGAGTCACAAAAAAGGAGTGCATTGGCATTTAGTATACAAGTACTAAATGACTGCACAGTCAGCGTCTTATGTAGATACAGTCACTGTCAAGGTAAACATGCCTTAACCCAGTCCCATAGAATGTTTATATACTCATTAAGGCCAGTTATTAGGCTACCATGGTGGAAAAGCTGTTGTGCTGTTCCATGTTTAAGCGCTTCAAACTGGTAGTCAAGACATGGATCCAGCACCTGGTGTGTATTTTGGCCTGTATAACAGTACTCAGCATCAAAGTGGTTAAACCAGTCATTGCTTCCCAAATTCTGGCATGTGCAACACCTGGTGTCTGCAGTTTATGTGTTTTGGTGGCTTATTCTCCCTTAACAATAAACACATGTTCTGGGCCCTTGCATGCTGTTGGGTCCTATCTCTCATTTCAGTGCTCTATCCCAGAGCAGATTTTGAAGCCGCTCCAAACCTCAGCATCACTCATGAGCACCATTTCAGGTTAGAACGCACACAGTGGAATAGGAGGCAAAGCACAGTGGCTGGCATTACACAGGGATTAGTCCAGTAAACTGGCTTGCTAGACAAAACACAGAATTCTCTAGTGAGCCAATAGTGGTCAGAGCTTAATTCCATTATATGAGCAGTGCAAAGGCTGCCAACTTTTCCTGCAGAATATTTCATTGGGCTCAGTTTTTGTGATGGGGCACATGACTCTAAATTACCTAAGGTGCCTATACTGGATCTGGGAGCAAATTCTGGCAATGAATAAAAAACAATGTTATTCAAAGTTGCAAAACTTTTATGATCCTTGTTTTCTCCTGGGCAGCCCCTTAAGTTGCCAAACCCATATTTCTGGGGTCACAAAGGTAGAGAGGATAGATCCCAAACACTGTGCTAACTAGCTAGCTGGAATTTTCTGCTCTTTGCTGTCATGAAATGCTTTTTCTCTTTACCTCTTACACCACATGGGTTTAATGAGGCAGGGACCCCAGTAAGCTAGCAGGTAGAAGATGGTATAGTATGTGAAGCTAAACCAGGGGTAGGCAAAATGGCAGATCCAGCTGGTGGTTGGACTCTATTTCCCAGCAGCAACTGCCTGTGTGGCTTCCAGTGGGTCTCCCTGGAGTCCTCTGCAGGCTGGATTCAGCCTGTGGGCTGGACTTCACCTACCCATGATCTAAATGTATATATGGCTCCAGACAGAAGGGGAAATTAAAATAGAATGTTATTTCCTAGGCCCACAAACAGCTGACTGTATATTGGCAAGATCCGTAAGAACCATGTCTAGCTTTGAAATATGAAACAGCTCTCAAGTGTAATAGGGTGAAGCAGACCCTTCAGTTTTCAATGTGTAAAGTTCCCATTTAACTTGCTGAAATGCTGATGGAGATCCACTAACCTACTTAAAACTATTCCACGTCCTCCCCTGCCTCATTTGAGTGTTACTTATCCTCACTTGTTTTTTCATTGAGAGAATACAGTTCTTGTGGGACTTACTAAATTGATGGCCCTAGAGCCACAAAGACTGAAGCCCTCTGACTATTCCCACAGCACCAGCACTGAGCATTGTTCACACACTAACATGCACCAGCACTGTGAGCATTGTTCACACACTAACATGCAAGTCCTGACTAACAGGGAGCATTTTTAAAGGGAAAATAAAACATTTTTATAAGAAAAATTACTTTTGGAGAAAGATTGGGACGTTTTTAAAAACATAAATCTCAGAATTTTTTTGACAAAATAAAAAGTTGGGCTGAAACATTTAGAACAGTTCCAATTCCAGTGTTGGAGTGCTTTGCTGTGTTTGCCATTAACAATTACCATAGCGGTATGATATCAAACTGTAGCCCTATCTAGGGTGACCACCTTTTCAAAATGGAAAGGTGGGACACATGCTTGTCCCCCTCACTGCTGCTGGCAGCACAGGCAGAGCAGAGCTGAGTGGAGCAGGAGTGGGGGTGGACGCAGGCTGCCCAGTGTGGGCTCAGGGTTTAGTGCCCTGCTGCCCTTTCCCCCAGGTGCCCTGTACCAGCCACGCATCCCCTGCCTGCATGGCAGCAGTGGGGGGCACAACTCCATGCCACTGCCCCTGCTGCTGCCAGGCTGGCAGGGGGTACCTCGCCATGGCGGTGTGGCCAGTGTGGGGCTCCAAGGGAAAGGGCAGCAGGGCAGGAAGCCCTGAGGCTGCAGTGTGCAGCCTGCATCTCCCCTGCCTCGCGCACAAATCTGGGGAACACGTCCCCTTCATGCCCTCCCCCACACCAGGATTGTGTGTAGTGGCAGGGAGCTGTCCTTGTCCCCCTACCTCCTGGATGAGCTGCCCATGAACCTGTGCTGCTCTACGCTCTGACCTCAGGCCCCATGTACTGCCCTGCCTGGGCAGCACCCCCAGCCCCTGTCCCACTCCTTACCACAGTGTGGGGACCTCAGTCTGCACCCCCTCCCTCTTACCCCCCCACCCCAGTCTCATCTGCAGGGAGCTGCTCTCCACACTGCCTGGCTGTCTTGCTTGCCATGTGCATATGTGTAGGCACGCACATGCATGTGGCACACCAAGTCCCCAAGCAGCCCCTTGCAGGCTGGAACGCTGTCAGCCTGCAAGGGGTAACCCACTGTTTCCTGTGTTTCTGTGGTGAACAGAAAACCCAGATCCCTGCACAATACCAGGAATCTGGGAAAAATGCTGTCCTGAAGTCATGCAGCCTGGGACCAGGACTTGATGTTCCCATTCTGGGACTGACCTGCCCAACTAGGGAGGGGTGGTCACCCTACTTCCATCCAGCTTTCCTTCATCACAAGTGATACAAGTAGCTGTCTTCAAACAATGATTCCCCTGGAGACCTATAGCCCGGTCTCTTCAGGATGTTTAAGGCTTCCAGAAGTGTTTTTATTAATCAAAGTAAATGGAATCCACCTTCTTGTCTATTACTAGGTTGGCCATCAGGGTACCTCAAGAATAGAGGACAGTTGTATTTAGTGCAACTGTCCCCACCACCATGAACACTGTGTGCCTCCTGAGGCGGGGGCAAGTTCCCGCAGGCGGTAGTGGTGATGTTGGCAATGGGGACATGGTGCTAGCAAGTGGAGAGCTCCCACTGGCAGCCGCGGCGGTGTTGGTGGTGGGCCAAGCAGAGAGCTCCCGCAGGCAGCCACAACAGTGTCAGCGGCAGGGGCGGGCTGAGCGGGGAGCTCCTGCAGGTAGCCGCAGCGGTGTTGGTGGTCAGGGGTGGATGCCGAGCGGTAAAAAATAGAAGACATAAATGCGTCTAGTTTCATATCAACAGAGGACCAGAATACTGGGCTGTCCTCTATAAAACTGGATGAATGGTCACCCTATCTGGTAATGATTTGCAAACCTGTAATTTCAGCTGCATGCTTTATGTGCCTGTCCTACTCTGTTGCATTGTATTGTGTTTTACTTATGTCTGTTCATACTGGGATATCTTCATGCCCTTGGGTGCTGTAAGGTAGGTGGCTATCTTTTATGTGTGGGTGAGGGGGTAGCTGTATGTACCTGTTTGATTGGAGTGGGGGAAAGGGGTTGTCCAAAGGACTCATCACTGGTTTAACCTATTTTCCATTCCAGTAAATATTAAAACTGTCATTGACTTCAGTAAGTGCAGACCTTAAGACAATGCTAAGGATTTCTGAAAACTCCACCCAAGGTTTATGAAACATTTGTAGAAACTCTGGGGTCAGACATGCTATATGGCAATGCAAGATGATGATGACAACATGATCTGAGTTTGATCCACCTCTCCAGCCAGGTGGCTCACTCTCTCTTTTTTTTTTTTTTTTTTTTTTTTAACC